GGGAGGGCCGGTGCTTCGCTGGGTGAGTCGACCGACACCCCCTGGACCTTTCGGCCCTTGACGGAACCCTCGAAACAGCCGTGTCCGCGACAATCTGCAGAACTTGTCTAAATCGTATACCTAAGACTAATTTTCATGAACATTGAAATATATACGCCGTTTTCGCCTGGTTTTTACAGACGGGTCCAAGACCGGCGATGGCCTGACGTGTGTATACGATTTGGCACCCTCTAGAGGCGATACGGACAAAGGAGGGTCAGCCTTCCTCATATGTACCGACCCTCTGAGCACGGTTTGTCCTATACGAGACGGTTCTCTGAGGACCCTCTCGTCGTGCTCTTGTTAGAAGAGGCGTAGAAATACGCCGAGCTGGAGCTCCTTGAAAAAACAGTGATTGTTGTCGGGTTACCAACCCGGCTGTTTCGAGGGTAATGAACGTGCGGACGAGGCGGTGAAAGTCGGGACGTCCCACCCCCCAGACCGGACCATAGCGATCAGCCCTCGGACGCCAAGCTAGAAGTGAAAAACCTGATAAAAGAAAGATGGCAGCGTCAGTGGGCGGGGTTGTCCGAGTGGCTCTTGCGGGTCAAGAACACGACCGATAGATGACCCTCAGAGAATCTGACCCGGAGATGAAGCATCGTCCTCACCCAATTGAGGATTGGCCATACTTGGTTGACACCAAAGCCCGTGCAGGTGCCTCTTATGGAGAGAAAGGTTGCTCGATGTGTCCCTAATAATAGAGGCGTTTCATGCCTTGCCTCCACACAGAGAGCTTGTAGGCATGTCGCCGGATTGGTTCTCGAGCACAGCAGTCGTTTTCTGGGTCCCCTGTTCCGTTTTTTAGAGTACGTGGGGGTGTTTTACTGTATAAGTTATATGATATGTGTTTTGTCATTATGTGTTTTGATTGAGTGCGTGTATTTAATAAATGGTGAGAGGTGATGGTGAAATATAGTGATACAACGCCCCTCCAGATCTCTCTCTCTCTCTCTCTCTCTCTCTCTCTCTCTCTCTCTCTCTCTCTCTCTGTGTGTGTGTGTGTGTGTGTGTGTGTGTGTGTGTGTGTGTGTGTGTGTCTAGAGTGATGGTATTTATAAAAGTACCTCATCGACCCTAATAAGATCTCGAGAAGCTGAACCTTGCAATACATGCATAACAAAGACAGAAGCCGATATCAAAAAAGGCCCTAATATGTGTCCAATATACTTCGACCTAGAGTAATCAAATCTGTGCTCCTATGTCCATAGCCTTCCCTTAATAGAATTTGTTGAGCCAGTCCAATTTCCTTAACAAGCTTAAATAGTGCTCTATAGCAAATATTAATTATTGCCGTTTTTTCTTATCATTCTCTAAAACATTTTCTTTATATACCTTTTTAGATGGAATGTGTTTATTAGGTGTTAATTTGACAAGTGTGAATAACATGGTGTCGTGTGAGACTTGAAGTTAACTAATAAATAAGGTTTGTTATTATGCCGGTCATGTGGATCTGCCCGTGATCGTAGAAATGGCTGACGTTATTTGAGGTGTCTACCCGGGGGCCTGGAGCGAGGTAAGTGCTTCTGTCTAATTTGTACTTGAATAACACCGAAAACCCATTAAAATCCTTTGGCCAATGAAGGTACTGTAAAACTTTATTTTCCTTTTTACACATCTACCGGGGATAACGTTCTAATAGACCTCCGAAGGGTTTTTATAAACATTTCCAGGCACAACGGAAAACCCCGAGTACTTTGTGTTTAGTCTTCTTTGTCGAAAAATATGGTAAAACGGAATTCGAAAGTGTACGTCTACCTAACTTTCAAAAGGCGTTTTTCTTCTCAAATCGAATTATAATTTCTGGGCGATATGTCACAAAACGTTACCCGAAATTATTTTGAAAAATAACAAAAATCAGTCCGTTTTTAAATCGCTTTTCTACTTCTTAAAAGAAGGATCGAGTCAATTGAACTGAACTAAGGACTAAACTAGGAAAAGTAAAATAATCCAGAAGGTTTGAGTGATGATCAAACCCCTGCATCCTAGTATCCTCCTTTCATCCTCATCATCATCCAACGTAATTGAAGCCGGCTTGTATAGAGAGCGTTTAGGAATGTCATCCAGTATGAGGAAGATGTAAATATGTATCCAATGGAAATTTTTACCGCTTTCTTTGATAGTCATTGCAACCTTTGTTCTGTACTCACAGTACACCGAGTAAGTCATAATTCATCAAGACATTTCATCTCTCATGGGCAGGGAAAGACCAAATTTTATGTAAAAAAAAAAGCCAAGAAACATTATTTTTTTCCGTAGAGTTTTATGTTTTTAAACATTTTCTTAGTAAAGAAAGAAGAAGAATCGTCTGGTTTTAGAACACTTGAATTATAATGTGGTTGTACAATGATTTTATTATTTATTTCCGTTGAAAAAAATAAGAAGAAAAAAATAGAAAAAAGCGACTTTGTTCAGATCCCAGGGCCAAGAAAGTTGCAGCTATTTGTAGTTGTACAACGCCTCAGGCGTTCTAGCAATAAAACTGAAAGCTTCTTCGAGCAATGAGAAAACATTCGTTCGCTCATCCCAGGAGAACTCCAATCGGTACTGTTCCATTTTATTTTCAAATTTCTCACGAGAAGTACCTGGCCAATCGATATTGTCTCTTAACTTTTCTCAAAAATAAATCTCAAATATATGGTTAACGTTCTAAATAAATATTTTCACAATCTACGTACGTTTACTGGAATAAGAGAGTAAAAATCCCCAGCCAAAGAATTTTATAAAAGACCAATATGTTTTGTTGTACATGTAATATTGCATCAGCAAGAAATTTTCATATCACATCTCGCCCGTATATTTTCGTTTCGGTTTGAAAGTTCAAAAAATGTTATTTGTAAGTATAAATGTATTAATTATTCTATACCATCGCACATTCTGTCAACTTATTTGTGCCCCCTGGCATCTCAATATCTACTCCATCGAGGAAAACATTTACACCGATTTTTTTAAGCATAAGCTCTACTTTTTTTTTAATTGTCCACACCATACATACATGAGGTATGTCTCCGCAGATCTTCCGGAGCAATTGTAGGATCGTTGTCAGACCATAGTACCGCTGTGTCATCATCAAAGGGTGCAAGTAAATCGATAGGTGTAATTGGGACTGCGGTATAAAATATGAAAAGTGAAAAATAAATTATATACTGAGACTTAAAAATTAATTAACATTACAACGTATTGCCAAGGATTCAGGCATGATAAGGCTATCCAAAAATTCCTATTTATAAAAATATATACCGAGGAAAGACGAGGAGGTTATACATGTAGAGAGAGGAATGGAGAGATATAGTCTGATAGAGGAAGAACCCGATGAAGCCTGCGGCAGGAAAGCTATTTCCAGTTGGTGCACAGATCAGTCCTACCTCCTTCGATAGCCGAATATAAAACGTACATAAAAAATCATTACAGTATTAAGCTTCTCGGCAAGTTCCTCGGTGAGTCACCCATACACAACACATCTGTAAACAAAATCCGGGAGAACAAGGGAACTGATGAGAAATAGAAATCAGAGGGATCTGAGGTCCTGATAAATAACTATCTCCTTCTTAATGGTGAAACAGAAAAAATTGAAATTAGAAGATAGTTAATTGATCGTTAAACAGAAGGTTGGGTGGTAAGGAATACCATTTTAAAATCGGTTTTACAGAAGCCAATTTGTTTATTTTCTTTGGGGTTGATGCAAAAATAAATTTTATGAAAATTAAACTAATCTGCGATTGGCAAAGGACTAATTTCTGAAAGGATCAAGTTACCTCATCGCAAATGAAGGCCAATCACTTCGAGTAGTTATTGATTTCGAAAAAGCTATTAATAAAGTCCTTCGTAGGAAAATTATAAAAAATCTTAAAAACACCCGACCGGATGATAACGATAATCCTTTTTAAATGCTTGAATAATATTTTTCTTGATAACATTTCAAATAATTTTGTTCTTAAAAAGGTTTCTAAATTTATAATTCCACCTTCGGTACACATTTATATAATTTTTTACGGATTAGGTAAAAACAAACAGTTACATGTGGTTTGTAATAAAATAGTAAATACATTAATTATTTACATTTATTTGCTTAGTGGGAATTTGCTTAAAATTTGAAACAGTTAAATAGTTTCCTAGGTTGAGTAAATTTTCTAACATTAAGTTGATACAATAATAAGATTAATAAGTTGATATCGGTATAATTCATTCCCATATATCACCTCAATGCCCTTTACAATGAACCCAATAGTTACATGAAAATCTTATGACTTCAATTTTGTTAGAGGAATTACCGTCGCTAATTGCTTCTTAATCGGCACATCAATCCATTGACGACTCGATGTAAGAAAGAATCAGAATAAATAAATTTATTATAGAAAACAGAAAGTAAATATTTTTGGGCTGGACTAGACGGGGATACATTTTTTCCCAGATGTCCAATGTTTCACTTCAATTCCTAACTCCTCTGAATTTTAACCAACTGCAACGATTTTACAACAGCTAAGAAGTATAACTTATCTATTTTCAGACTATTTCAACAAGGTTTGGATTTTGTATTAGTACAAATGAGAAAAATAAGAACCAACTCAACAAAAAAGTTTTCTTTTTTAAGGCAGTTTTTTTGCCTTTTTTGTGGATATATTTCAAGGCTATTATAAAACAGACGATTATTATATCTCAAGAAAATAATATGAGGATTGTATTAGGTGAGATTAGCTCCATAAAAAGTTACAAAACCAAAAACCGCATCCAGGAAAATAGGTTCACAAATTTTTATTTTTAAAAAATCTGATTCGGAAGTATCATGTAAAGCCCTAAAATATGTATTTTCATGGAAAACAAAAAATAGATATTTTTGGGATGGACAAGTCGGGTGAAATTTTTCTTCCTCTGCGGGGGATCCGAAGTGATGTCATATTGCCATTTATTGAAAAATTGATGAAAGTAAAATAAAATATTACGTTTTATTTAAAGTACACATGGCCCAATGTCATCGGTTGTTTATCATAGAGGAACGAGTAATGGAGAAGGGATTTTGCTAGGTTTAAAAGAGGCCAGAGGAACGTCCAAGAAATTATTCCCTCGTGTAACTCCACAGGTTGGTTACACTTATTTTACTGATAAGTGTAATTCATATTTCTTTAGTAGTAGTACTCAATTTTGCCAGATTGATGAAATAATTGAAACTAGTTGGGATTTATTTACAAATATTGTTGAATTAATATCTTTTATTCCTTTATTATTCACCGCTTTTTTAAATTTTTAGTTAAAGGAAAAAATGGCTTTGATTTTGGCTGCCGGTTTAGTGTTGGCGAGACAGCAGGCCGGTCTCTGGCAGTTTCTTCTTCTTCAGGCAAACTACGGCGTGTACCACTGGTCACCTCCCAAGGCGGACCTGAACTCTGGAGAACAATTCCTGGACGGAGTTTACCGAACGTTGAACGAAAGTACCGGGTTTAATAGAGGCGACGTGCAATTATTCACCAACTTTCAGGAGAAAGTGACATATAAGGCGTTCGGTAATGACAAAGAAGTCACGTACACTCTCGGAAAGTATACAGGCACGAACGGCGACAACGTTCTGCTTCATCCGGGGCATCAAGCCTTCAAGTGGGCACCATATAATGAAGCCAGGGAGTTAGTCGGATATCAAAATATGAAAGAACTTCTCGACAAAGCCAATGCCGAATTGTTAAAACATCCCTAATCATTGATCCATCCCATTTTAAGACAAATGTAATCACACATTGATTTTAATTTCAATGGTGAGGAGGGTTATAAAAAATAAGCTTACCACAACTGTGTACATGTTATGCGCTAATAAAATCTTATCCTGCTCTCAAAATTAGTTTTTCTTTTTTGCAATTTAAATGAAGAATCAATTATAGCCAAGAATAAATTAATAAGAAATCATGAATGTTGAACGTTTTGACATAAGATACAGTTATGTGAAACAAACTAACAATTAGACAAAAATGGTTCGTTCATTGTTCATAACGATAAGAAACACAGTATAGATGAATAAAATTTAGTTGGGTCTAACATGAAAGGAGAAACGAAAGAGAAATCCAAATTAAGTGAAAATTATTTTACAAATTAATGCGATACACCATGAGAGAATCCAGAATGTAAAATAAATTTATGTGTAATTCATCGAGTTGTTTGGACTTTAAGTTTAATTTAAACTCCAACAATTTATTTACCTGGGAACAAAATAGTCAGTATTTTGAGGGGAATACAATTCCTGTCAAAAAGTTAAAAGTAGGAATACGAAATCGTGCTTAAGCTGGTACGTTGTTGTTATTTTTACATATTATTAGACACACCAGAACAATTGAAAGAAGAACTAGCTAACTGAATCTGTGAAATACCATGGAGCTGGTGGCGAGGTCGGGGTTACAAGCAGGGTGAGGCCATCAAATCGTATAAAACTACATTATTCAGGGGCAAAAAGAGAACATTTTTTAAATAAAAGTTATAATGCGTTCTTGTAAGTGTAGAATATGTTTATACAGGGTGTCAGCATTTTCCCTCAAAAGCAAAAAGAGCTACAGAAAATAATTTAAGCCCTCTTACTTTTTGGCGTAGAAATTGAATACGTAGTCAAATCTTTCATTTTTGTGCAGGGTAATACCGAAATCGAATTCTTTAACTTCAAACGGCACCACATATTTTCTCTTGAGTTTATGTAACTTAGATTTATCGCTATTTTTTATAAAAAAATTGGTTGTAAATTGACAAACTTGTTTAACCTTTTAAGCATAAAGTAACACGTTATTTTCTTTTTCAACCCTGTTTAAAGTAATCTTCTTCGAATTTAAAAAAGTATCATTCAAGGGTTTGCGATGTAATTTTGAGATTGCAATGATTCTGAGAGAGAATATTCAATTTACGAGAGTATTCAAGGCAATGCAGTTGTTTTTGTAATGATCAGTAAGTATTTTGTCAATCTTTATTTGTTATCTTTGTTATGTTAGTGTTTTGAGAATTAGTTACAAGTACGAATAAATCTTACCCTGGTTTCAGTCTGCATTTGGCTTTTATTGTGCATTAAAGTTCTGTTTTTTTTTGTGTTTTTTTTAGACACTTTTAATTCTACTTTCCGTTTCCGTGATGCCCCTATGATTTGTGAATATGATATTTCTCTATAATTTCATTGATATCGGATCCCTCTAAAACATCGATACGTTTTCCTTTACATTTACAAAATTTTTGTTCTGAATAAGTGAATACATCCATTATTACTTTCGCAAATTTTTCGTATAAGTCTGACTCGAAATACAAGTGATTTGCTGTTTTAGGCACGATGAGTTCTTTTATACATTTAAAAATTGTAAAATTGTCATTACAAAAATCGTTCTTTGAAAATTGGACGCTTATTCTTGTTTTTGAATTCCCGATCAACTTAATAATTTTGGGTTTAGCCGGATTAAATTCGACTCTGAAATTATTATTTGATTTTTTCCGAAATTAACCGGACCTTCAATAATCGGTATATTCATAACTGTATTTCCAATTCCGTTGGAATGTACCGTCGCATCGTCATCGTTGATGTTTTCATCTACATTTCCAGCAAGGTCATCTACATTGACGATGATGGATTCATTTTCTAGATTTACATTTGATTCGTCTTCAACATCTAATCTATCGGGTTCGAGATCTGGATTTTGGAAATAAAAGTTTCTAATTAATTCGTCTATTACTTCGCCACCGGTTTCATGTACTATTCTCAATTCTATTCTCAATTCAATTCAAGAGCATCAGCTACCTTGTTCTATTTTCCTGTTTTGTATTTAATTTCGTAATTGTATTCTTCCAGTTTGAGTCGCCAACGTAAAAATTTAGAATTTGGCTCCTTCGTATAAAACAGTCAATATCGCGGTCTGTGATCGCACTGTGTAATTTCTTACCGAATAAATATGGCCTAGAATATTTTGTTGACCAAATATTTCCAAGTAATTCTCGTTCTATTGAAGACAAATTTGTTTCCGTTATACAGAGAGTTCTACTCGCATAAGCTATACGCAACTCTTTTCCATTAAAATTTTGGGACAAAACTGCGCCCAACGCCACATTGCTGGCATCCGTCGTTAATATGAATAGACGAGAAAAATCGGGGTATTTTAAAATTGGATCATTCATTAATATACTTTTACAAAGATTGAAACTATTAATATAAGATGGTTCGTTGATGTTAATTTTCGCTCCTTTTTTTAGACAGTGGGTACGGGGTCCCATAGTACCCGACTAGACCGAGGAATGCTTCAATTTCTTTTATTGTTTTGGGGAGGGGATATTTTTGGATAGCTCGTACTTTATTTTGATTCGCTTTAACATCTTCCGAGTAACGAATTGACCTAAATAATCTACTTCTTGTTTTTAAAAGTTCCGTTTTGTCCCGTTGTATTTTAAAATTACCACCTCTAGGTTTTTTTCGAAAACTTCTTTTAACGTTTCCATGTGCTCTTGAAGACTGGTACTAAATATTAGTATATCGTCTAAATATACTATAGCATTTTTTGTGCCTCGAAGTATGTTGTCCATTGTCCTTTGAAAAGTTGGTGCACTATTTTTTAGATCGAAGGGCACACGAAGAAATTCATAGTGGCCTAGTTCTGTTGAAAATGTCGTTTTTTGAATGCTATTTTCATCCAACTCGAATTGGTGAAAACCTGAGGCTAAATCTATGGTAGTAAAATACTTACATCTCCCTAATTTGTCAAGTGGTTCAGTAATGTTAGGAATTGGACATTTGTCGTCTATTGTTTTGTCATTACATTTCCGGTAGTCAATTACTATTCTCCATTTCTGTCTTCCAGACAGATCCAATTTTTTTGGAACTATCCAGATTGGTGAATTCCATGGAGAATAAGACGGTCTGATAATTTTTCGTTGTAACATAGAGTTAACTTGTCTATTGACTTCCTCTCTATGAACGTCCGGATATCTGTACGCTTTTGTATATATGGGAATTTCGTCCCTTCTCCGTATTATTTACATTACGTTATTGCTAAATGTAAGTGGCCTACCTTCTTCATAAAATGTCCATGTAATTATCCACCAGTTTCGTAATCATTTCTCTTTTTTCGGTGTTCATATGTTCTGTGCGGATTTTTTCCTAGTGTTGTTTAAAATTGTTCGTTTTTACATGATCTAAACCTAATTTTTGTTTCCTTGTTTTTCCGAGCATGTTAAAATTATTATTAATTTTTGACCAGTATGCCGCGATTAATTTTCGTAGTCTTCTATATTATTTACCACGAATGGTTGTGTTATTGTTAATTTAATGCTAGTATCCTTTGGGTTGAATATTTTACAAAATGCTTCAGCAGTTTTAATTTTTACGAAGCATTGTGGGATCTCTAATACCGCTACATTATGGTAATTTAATATACTTTCTCCATATTTAATGTTTCTTATTTTTATTTTTACAATTTTTTCGCTTCTAGGCTCCAGAACGTAACTAGTGAACTTACGTATCTTACATCCGTTATAACTTATACATATATTTAAAAATGTCTTAATTTTTCAACCGTACTTATATTTGGTGCACAATAAAAGCAAACCTAAGTACATTAACATTTTAGGGTGGGGCGTTAATTGGGTTCGTCAATGTAAATTAACCTTATTTAAACCGCGGATCCGAGGAGATGTCGTAAGTTATTCATTGATAAAATTGATCAAAGTAAAAGAAAATATTGCGTTGTATTTAGAGTACGCGTGGCCCAATCGGATCGGTTGTTTATTCTAGAGGAACGAGTAATGGAGAAGGGATTTTGCTAGGTATAAAAGAGGCCAGAGGAACGTCCAAGAAATTATTCCCTCGTGTAACTCCACAGGTTCGTATATTATTTTACTTATAAGTGTAATTCATATTTCTTTAGTAGTAGTACACAATTTTGCCAGATTAATGAAATAATTGAAACTAGTTGGGATTATTTACAAATATTGTTGAATTAATATCTTTTATTCCTTTACTATTCACCGCTTTTTTAAATTTTTTAGTTGAAGGAAAAAATGGCTTTGGCTTTGGTTTTGGCCGCCGGTTTAGTGTTGGCGAGACAGCAGGCCGGTCTCTGGCAGTTTCTTCTTCTTCAGGCAAACTACGGCGATAACCACTGGTCACCGCCCAAGACTAACCTGAACTCTGGAGAACAATTCCTGGACGGAGTTTACCGAGCGTTGAACGAAAAAACCGGGTTTAATAGAGGCGACGTGCAATTATTCACCAACTTTAAGGAGAAAGTGACATATAAGGCGATCGGTAATGACAAAGAAGTCACGTACACTCTCGGAAAGTATACAGGCACGAACGGCGACAACGTTCAGCTTCATGAGAAGCATAAAGCTTTCAAGTGGGCACCATTTAATGAAGCCAGGGAGTTAGTCGGATATCAAAATATGAGAGAACTACTCGACAAAGCCAATGCCGAATTGTTAAAACATCCCTAATCATTGATCCATCCCATTTTAAGACAAATGTAATCACACATTCATTTTAATTTACTTTGAACGGTGATGGAGGATTATATATAATAGGGTTAGCACAACTGTGTACATGTTATGCGCTAATAAAATCTTATTCTGCTCTCAAAATTAGTTTTTCTTTTTTGCAATTCCCAATAAGCGAAGAATTATTTATATTCTTAAGAATAAATTAATAAGAAATCATAAATGTTGAAAGCTTTGAGATAAGATACAGTTATGTGAAATAAACTAACAATCAGACAAAAATGGTTAGTTCATTGTTCATAACGATAAGAAACACAGTAAAGATTAATAAAATTTAGTTGGGTCTAACATCGAAGGAGAAACGAAAGAGAAATCCACATTAAGTGAAAATTCTTTTACAAATTAATGCGATATGCCATGAGAGAATCCAGAATGTAAAATAAATTTGTATGTAATTAATCGAGTTGTTTGGACTTTAAGTTGAAATTTAAACTGCTTACTGAGCTGAAAAACAATTCAGTCAAAACGTTAAAATTAGGAGTAAGTAATCGTCCTTAAGCTGGTACATTGTTGTTATTTTTACATATTATTAAAATATGTATACCAGAACAATTTAAAGAAGAACTAGCTACAACTGAATCTGTCAATAAACCACGGAGCTGGAGGCGACGTCGGCGTTACAAGCAGAGTGAGGCAAAACAACATTATTCAGGGGCAAAAACAGTTAGCATTTTTTCATAAAAGTTATCAGCCTGCATGACCCGTATTTGAAGCTGTAGGATGGTGTACTCAAATATTTCCACAATAGATAATACTTCATTTTGAAACTTTTATAAGAATAACTAAAAAGTTTGAACCTCAAAATCGATATTCCCGTTCCATCCAGTGACCTGCAACTGCAAGGAGTACTTTTATGCGACAAAATTCAAATTATTCTTAACGAAAAACAACAAACGTATTGGGCTGTAAGAAAGATAGGATTGGGAGTGTTTTCATATTTAGAGGTTTAAAAGTCTTAGAAGTTCCTGGGTTACGACCAACTGATTATACCAAAATAATTACTTATCTTGTAAATATGAAATTATTGTGAAGAAAAATAATGATTTTTTGCAGCAAATTCTGTGACCTATAAAAGAAGAAAGAAAAAAAATTCTAAAAGCATACAAACACAGGGGAAGATGGTTTAAGCTTGCTCCAGAAATGAAAAAAAAATCTTTTCAAACTCCTATGCCCTCATTGTTTCCACATCCTACTCCAACCAGGACACCTCCAACTAACAAGGGGGGACCAGGTTTATCTATTTTTTGTTCCATAAATTTTTACAATTTTTGAGAAATCGTTATCGGAATATGAACTGAAACAGCTATGAACGTTAAACAGACAGAATATATATATATTATTATATATATAATGTATATATATTATTATATATTATATATAAAATGTATACAAAATATATATACATATATTTATATATATTAACTCAGGCAAATTAACTTTTAATTTTATTTTTTATTTTTTTACTTTTATTTAACTAACTGAATAAACAGTTGAGACGTTCTACGTCTACGTATGGACAAAGAGTGTATAATAATAAAATAGATGTGTAAAATGCAGTTTAATGCTGCTTACATAATTTCTACGAATATTGTCTAACTTATATCTGTGGGAAAGTGTAACTTATGCACTTTACCACGATTTGAAAATGACAATAATTTGATGTAACTGCTCCCTCCTGAAGTTCTAAACGAACTCAACTGCTTCCATGAAGGTCTAAATCAATTTCAATTAACATCAATATTCTTTAACGTCTCAAATACAATTATTACAAATTTACATCAGTAATTACATTATTTAAATAAACATAACATTGGCTAATACAATTTTTAGTGTTTACATCTCCAGATCATCAGGATTACATTTTGTTGAGTTATTTACAATAAAAAAGTGTTTCTTTTTGCAAATACTATTACACAAATTATCATTAATATGAAGATTATGATGTACAAGAATACAGATTAGAATAGATTGTAGGAATTGTGGGAATTTCATTTAGAGGGTTAATGGAAATGTTTTTCAAATCAAGTCTTTTGAGAGTGACTCTGAATTCTGGAATTTGCTGCGGTGTAAGACTAAGGTTGATACTCTGTAGTAGAACATGCTTTCCAAAAGACTTCCAAAATTCATAGATGAGAGTTTTGCCACTGAAAACAAACTTGTTCTTCTTACAAATTTATTTATATAAACAATTTTGTTATTTTTTGATTTTAATATATAGGGATTATGCGGGTTAATTGTTACAAATTTATTCTGATATTTACTCGGGACAGGTTGCATGTTAAATGGTTCAAAATGGTCTTCAGAATAAATAGGATGTCCCATGAAATAGAATATTTGATCCACTTCAATTTTACAATTTATATTCAACATATTTTCGTAATGAAGGGTTATTGATATGAACAACTAAGCACATTTTTTTTCTATAATGATTTTCTAATTTTTTAAATTCTGAAAACAATTCATGAAAGCTAATTATGGAAGGGTGAATTGTCCCTATTGACAAAAAATAACTGAATTTTCAATTTCTTCTATAGTGTTCAAGAGTAAGTGATATAATGTTTGTAATTGATGCAATGCATCTTTAATTTCAATAATTTCTATATTTTTTCTTACCTATTTCCCAAATTCTGATCTGAAGAGTTTTAATAGATTCGTTGAAATCGTTTATTATTTTATTATTTATGGAGTACATTAAATTTAATTGATTCTTTAAATTACTTTCATTGTATTTAACATTATCCATGAATTTGTGAAAGGCTTCTCCATCAAAACTATCGAGGTTTCTACAATTTTTATTAGACTGCCAATACCGTTAATTAGTAAGACCTCTATTAGTTCTCTTTGTTGTATGGGCAATTAAATGATATATTTTATTCTCTATAAACATTCTAGTCTGGTTGATCAAGTTAAAATTGGACACGGTTTCGTCTTTAATTGAATTATTACGCTTAATAAAATCATAAAATCGGATACTGACTTTAGTGATTGGGAGTTTTGTGGCCCTGAAAAGGGCCGGCGTTGTTGTTTCGTAAATCTACATCTGCGTGTTTGAAGATTGATAAAGTACACGGCAAAACTGTTCGTACACATCATCTTCCAAATATGGGTAGTATTTTGTTTCGGGAACGACGTATGAGTTTATTAAATTAATTACCTCCTTTCCAAAGTTTTGCTTTTTTTACGAGTGTTCGCAACAGCAGAGGTTATACCAATCCTCGGAGTGCCGGTGTTTTTGAAAAAAAGCCCATTTGTAAGTATGTCGGGTTCAAATGCAGGGCCGCTGGATTTGAACCCGGGACCTTCAGCTTACATTGATGAGCGCCTTGTCAGGGCATAAACCGTTGCGGCCACCGAGGCATATTATTATTTGATTTTTTCCGTGATTCACTGGAGTGTCAACTATCGGTACAGTGATTGTCGTATTGCTGTCAAAATTGGAATGTGTCGTATCGCCGTCGTTTGAATGTTCATTTTCATGGAAGTTTGTTATTACCGATTCGTTATCAATTTCATTTACATTATTATGATCACCTGGTGCCACGTTCGCGTCTGGTAGGTCGCTTCCGGTGCCCTGTAGATAGTCATTCGCAGTCAGGTTGTAGCGAATAAAATTGCTGTAGGAGTTCCTCGAGTTCTTTATCGCTACAAGTCTCTTCGTCCAGTGTTTCGTTTGCGTTTATCTCTACACGGGATAATCCATCTGCAATAGCATTCTCTGAACCTTTTTTTATAAATTAATTCGTAATCGTACTCTTCGAGTTTTAGCCGCCAACGTAATAATTGTGAATTTGGTTCCTTTAATGACATCAACCATTGGAGGGGTTTATGATCACAATATATCTTAACATTTTTTCAGAATAGATAGGTTCTGAATACTTCGTAGACCAGAAGTTCTTTTTCAATTACAGATAATCTTGTCTTTGCATCGTCGAGCGTGCGACTAGCATAAGCGACGGGAAGATCAGCACCATTAGCTTTGTGGACTCAAAACAGCACCAATGGCGTAGTTACTCGCGTCTGTAGTTAATTGAATTGCTTATTGAAATCAGGGAATTGTAGAATTGGGTCGTTCGTCAATATTTGTCGACATGTGTCGAATGCGTTTATATAATCTGAATCATGAACAATTATAAGCGCGTTTTTCTTTAAACATTTTTTAGCAAAATTAGGGATAAATTTTCGGTAAGAACCGAGAATTGCGAGAAAACTCTATATTTGTTTCACAGTTTTCGGAATTGGGTAGTTTAGTGTTGCTCTGACCTTTTCTAAATTTGGTTTTATACCCTTTTTTGTTATTGTGTGGCCCAAATATGCAAATTCGCGTTTTAAAAATTTCGTCTTGTCCAACAGTATTTTAAAAATTTTCTGTAAAATTTGTCTCCTTAGTCTTTTAAATACTTCTTCCAATTTTTGAATGTGTTCCTGACGACTCGTACTAAAGATAATTATATCGTCGAGGTAAACCATACAATTGGTTATCTCTCTCGGGATATTGTCCATGACGCGTTGAAACGCGGGGGCGAATTTTTCAGCTCGAACGGCATACGCAGAAATTCGTAATGCCCGTTTTCGGTGTTGAATGCAGTCTTCGGAATACTATCGAGGTCCATCTCGATAGGCGAGGTCGATTGCAGAAAAGTATTGTCTTTTTCCCAATTTATCGAGAAGATCTGTGTAATTTGGTAAAGGTCATCTATTGTTTTGCCATTTAGCTTTCTGTAGTCAACTACTAGTCTGAATTTCTGCTGTTCAAAAACATCTTTTTTCTTGGGAACAATCCAGATTGGAGAGTTCCATGGTGAGTTTGAAGTTGAATTATTTTTTGTTCTAACGTGCTGTTTATCTGGTGGTTTACTTCCTCTTTATATACATGGGGATATTTTTTAGATTTTGTGTACATGGGGATATCGTGTTTAGTTCGTATGGCGTATTTGATTCGGTTAGAAAAGGTTAATTGGTTGCCATCGGTGTTGGAATATATCTGCAAATTCTTTGACGAAATTTTGTACAACTGGCTTTTCCTCGGCATTCATGTGGTCAGTTCTAATCTTGGGTAGCTTTCTTAAATTTGTATGTGCTTTATT